GGCCAGATAGTTGTCTTCCAAATTTCTTGGCATAGATGAGTGAGTGCCTTTTGTGCCGCCTCACTTTCTTTGAAAGATTTCGGTTTTTATTCCATTAATTCCTGGTGCCTTGTTCTTTGTCAATTCCTTCAATGCACCTTAGACTTCCTCCCTTCAGTTTCATTGGCTCTTGATCATATGCTACCTCTTCAAACGGTTGAACAGGAACCATTTCCTTTTGGTACATGTAGCAAGTTGTTAATGATTCTTCCTCCAATCCTGATGTTATATTCTTTTATAATCCAGCTTCTTAGATTAATGCCCAGCATACTGATTGAATCAGTATGATGAAAGGATACAGCCCTGACACACACCTTTCTTGATTTTAGACCATTCAGTATCCCCTTGTTCTGTTCAATAATTGCCTCATGAACACAGTTATTAAGTGTTCTGGAATACTCATTCTTGGTCATATTATCCATAGTTCTTTGTGATCCACACCATTGAATGCCTTTGCATAGTCAATAAAGTATAAGTAAACAGCTTTTTGGTACTTTCTGCTTTTCACCAAGATTCATCTGATATCAACAGATGAATGTCACTTGTTCTACATCCTTTTTTGAATTTGACTTAAATTTCTGGCAGCTCCCTGTTGATGTCCTGGTGCAACTGGTTTTGAATTGTCTTCATCAAAGTTTTACTTGCATATGATACTAATGATATGTGTTGTTGTTAAGTACCATGGAGCCAATTCCGATTCATAGTAACACTGTACAGGGTTCCCAAGGCTGTAAATCTTTATGAGAGCAGAAAGCCTCATCTTTCTCCTGCAGAACAGCTGGTAGTTTCGAACTGCTGACCTTGAAGTTCGCACCCCGAATCGTAGCCACTATGCTACCATATAGTTAGTTGATATTCGCACTTCACTGGGTCACTTTTCTTTGAAATGGCTACAAATATGGATCTCTTCCATATTTGGTTGGCCAACTAGCTTTATTCCAAATTTCTTGGCGTACACAAGAAATTTTGAATACGTTCATCAGTTTTATAGAAACATTTCAATATTATTCCATCAATTCTCGGAACCTTGTTTTTCACTGTTGTCTTCTGTGCAACTTGGACTTCTTCATATGGTACCTCTTGAAATGAATGAGAACATTAACATGCTTTTTTTGGTGCAGTGACTCTATATTGTTTCCATCTTCTTTTGATGCTTTCTGCATCATTCAAAAATTTTTCCATAGAATCCTCAATAATGCAAGTCAAGGCTTGAATTCTCTCTTCAATTCTTTCAGCTTCAGAATGCTGAGTGTTCTTCTCTTTTGTTTTTCTAACTCAAGGCTTTTGCACAGTTGATTACAGTATTTGAATTTGCACTTAGAAATTTCTTGAGCTGCACTTAGAAATTTTCTGTTCAGCTCTTTTACTGCATTTCTTTTGGTTACTTTAGTTTCTCTACATTCAAGAGTATCAGAGTTTTTTTCTGACATTCATTTTGGTCTTCTCTTTCTTTCCTGCCCTTTTACTTTCTTGTTGTATAATGTTCTTGATGCCATCCCATAACTTCTGTGGTCTGTGGTCCTTAGGGTGTAATGCATGTAATCTTTCTTGAGGTGGTCACTAAATTCAGGTGGGATATACTAAGGTTGTATTTTAGCTGTCATAGACTTGTTTTAATTTTCTTCATCCTAAGCCTGAACTTGCATATGAGCAATTGATAATCTGTTCCACAGTTGGCCTCTGACCTTGCTTTGGGTGAAGATATTGAGCTTCTCAATTGTGTTTTCCCACAGATGTAGCCAATAATGATTCCTTTGTATTCCATCTAGTGAGGTTCTTGAGTAGTTACTTTTTTTGTTTTGTTTTTTAACTTTTTATTGTGAATTTGAAAGTTTACAAACAAGTTCACCAGTTTTACATTCATCTCAACGATTGCAGTCCCCTCCATGGAACATGTGGTTCCAATTTCCCTTCTTAACTCTGTTGTTAAGTAAAAGTTGGCTGTTCCATTATTCATAGTGAGCATACCTTACTAGTGTTGCTGTTCCCCCTCAATACCTAACTACTGCTTGGCTGAAAGTTGGGCCACACGGGTGAGTTCCTTTCCACACCTGAAGGGTAGTCAAGGGCCGCAATCTCAGGTTCCTTCAGTCTCGTTGTGACAAGTATGTTATTGTTGTTGTGAAATGCCATCAAGTCGGTTCCAACCCATAGCGACCCTGTATAGGGTTTTCAAAGAGCAGCTGGTGAGCTTGAACCACCAACCTTGCAGTTCAAACGGCTTTGCAGTCTGGCGCATTAACCCACCTTTTATGGTCCTTAAAAAAGGTATTTACAGTGAGAAAGTCATTGCCCTTGCAAATTTTTATCATACGATCTCCAGCATTGTGTCTGTCACTAAGGCCATATTATCTGAATTCTTCCTTTTAGTTCACAACTTTTGCATTCTAATCACCAGTAATTGTCAATGCATCTTGCTTGTATATTTGATCAATTTCAGACTGAAGAAGTTGGTGGTGGTTGTTGCCTTCGACTCGGATCATAGTGATCCTGTATAGGTTTTCCAGGGAGCACTTGTTGAGCTTGAACCACCCACCTTGCAGTTCAAACCGACCTTGCAGTCCAACGCATTAACCCGCAGTGCCACACCAGGACTCTGACCCTACAGCAAGCAACCCTGTACAGAGTTTCTGAGGCTGTAAATCATGGCAAGAGCAGAAAGCCTCATCTATAATCTAAGGAGTTGCTGATGGGCTTGAATCACTGACCTTGTGGTTCA